ATTTTTATCTACAAAATTCGTAAATGCATGTAACTAAATGACGATACAATAGTTATAGGATGTATCTAAGTGACCTTTATCCGAACGTTAAATGTTAATAGCGTTTATTGGTTTCGGTGCGAGAAGTTATCGAATCCGAGTCGATTTCGCTTTCCGAGACGATTGTGAATAGCCCTGCTGGAATGAAAGCTATAAGAGCAATTTGCATAAAATATCCATTTTATATTGATAATACTTCGATCCAAAGTAAGCCGGGATAGTTCTCACTGGTCAGATCGACACACATGAGTTTAACCGTCACTTGGTTCCGCACACCGTTTTTAGGCGTTAGGTAACTGAATTAACGTAACCTGTACCTGAGGTTCGGCTGCGTACTGAAAAACTTTGACACGTTGAAACTATAAAATTCTCCTGGATTAAGGTATTTAGTAGTTGGAGCTAGCAGACGCCTTGGTGGAGCTGTCGTGAGTTTGAAAAAGTGCTTTATAAATGCCAATTTTGAATTAAAATATTTTGACTTTGACTTTACATTAAAACCTTTGCTACTTTTATAAGACAATACCATTCTATTTTAACAACTGTTTTCTTTCTTAATTTTAAAGTTAGATTTTGGACTTCTCTTCTAAACATTATTATTTAATTTCTAAATATTTTACACTACCAATATCGTCCTCTACAGCCAATAAAATTCACTGCAGAATATAGACCTCGTCCGTAGATTGCCTTATAGGAAATTTTGACATAGTTGCTAAGTTTGGCAGGCGGGTCGGCAACTACAACTTTTTATCATTTTTGGCTGCTATCAGGAATATTCTGCTGCCAATCTCCTGTTTCCTTCTCCTGTCATCCACGGAACGAAATGGGATTACATTAATTTTCTTAACATTATAGAAACAAATATTTAGAACATTATAAGCCAGCTCGATGTTCTTTTAATGTCTACCATTTCAATCTTCAATTCAAGCGAAGGCGTTTTACAGTTGTTGCAAATCACACAAAATAATAAATATAGGAGGGTGTAGCACGCTAGGTTCCTCTTGAGTTCGCGTGTGTAGTTGCACTTAATGTTACCATTCTTCCGAATTTTTATTCCTGTGGCCTAAATTTTAAAGTGTTACAGTCTGTATGTGTCTGTGTGTAATTATAATGGCTTTTATACTCCACAGACCGTACTGCTGTGGCAGTGCAGGTTTGTTTTAGAAATAGATTAGAGGATGGTACATATTCAGACAGAATCTTGAGCAGAAATAGGGTCCTAAATGAGTCCTACCACCTAAAGGAAATTCTACTTACGCAGGGCTTTAAACCGCTCCTCGATATAACCTTTAAATGTACCATTTTCAACTCAAGCCAGCGCACACTCTGCCCTATGGTAACCCCTGCATAACCTTAATGTTACCATTCTTCCGAATTTTTATTCCTGTGGCCTAAATTTTAAAGTGTCACAGTCTGTATGTGTCTGTGTGTAATTATAACGGCTTTTATACTCCACAGACCGCACCACAGCAGTGCAGGTTTGTGTTAGAAATAGATTAGAGGATGGTACATATTCAGACAGAATCTTGTGCAGAAATAGGGTCCTAACTGAGTCCTACCAACTAAAGGAAATTCTACTTACGCAGGGCTTTAAACCGCTCCTCGATATAACCTTTAAATCTACCATTTTCAACTCAAGCCAGCGCACACTCTGCCCGATGGTAAACGGATTGCTGTGGCCCGTAGACATGTACATTTTTCCTCGATTAAGAATCAAAATGCAGATGCCCCCTGATGACCAAGATGGAATGCCTAGTTTCCAGTAAAAAGCTTCTTTAGTTTCCTTCTGTCACGTCTTACGACACGCACGGGACGATATGGGGTAGTGAATTTTCTTACATGGACAGTACACGGAAAAATGTGTTAAATTTACACCCATTCAACTGTGTGGTAAATCTTTTTTTTATGTCGGTTTTTTAACGTTTAACTATTTTTTAACGTTTAAATATTTGAACCTTTTTTCTTTTGTAGTAGACTAAAAATTATCACAAAATCATGGTGTGTAAAATCAATATGATATAGTTAAATCAAAAACTTTGACCAATGGATCACCCTTGAGGTATAGCTATTAATTAAATAAAAAAAATATTAAAACCAAGTCACAGTTTACTAGTTTAACATTTACTCAAAACAATCTTACTTTGAATTATTGCTATCATTAACATCATAAGTTCGTAATAAATTAAAAGTGCAGTTGAAATAAACCACACAGAAACAGTTTCATTTCCTAGTTTCATACCCTAGACCGGTAGAGTAAGTTTAATGTACTTTTTTGGCTGTGCGCCAAGAGCACTCACCTTTTAAATCTAGTTTTATTATGTAGTTTGTAGACGTAGGGTTTATCTTTGAGTCGACAAATTAGAGATGATGTAAAATTATCCTAGCAATTTGTACCACAGTGAAAACTTCCAAACACTATCTAATATTTTATCTAAAGGTTACCTGAGCTAGAGATAAAACAATGGCGTAAGTATTATACGTGGTTTTATACGTGGTACAGCCATGCTGCAGCTATATATTAGTAGTATAGTTTTGGCACGAATGGGTCGGCTCGACCGGGGAAGGACCACGCTCTCACAGAATACCAGCGTAAAATGGCAGCTTGACACTGCTGTGTTTCGTATGTTGAGTGTAGAGAACCGGAGACCCATTCTACTGGAAGAGAAGCATTCCATCGTGGTCCTCACGGGTGACGACATATCTGAATTTTGGATAAATGTAGATGTCTATGGGTCACAGCAACCACTTACCATCAGGTGGACTGTGTACTCGTTTGTCACCCCATCCTATAAAAAAAAGTATAGATGCGTGGACTTAAATTTACTGGGTCGTCTTTTATTTTTTACACAAATGCTCAAGAAGGAGGGTAATATTTTAAGAGTGTATGATGTAAGTAGGTATGGATGGATGTATGAATGTATGTATGTAATGGCCTCGTTGGTCTAGGGGTTGTAATCCGACACGAAACCTGAAGGAGATCAGGCACAGGACCAACGGCTTTACGTGTTTTCTGAGGAACGGGGATGTAACACCGCCAACTTCCTGACTCTGGGCTGCCACTGAGAATTACGGCGGTAATTATTTGACGGCTCCGTGGCGCAAGGACTTAGCAATGAGTTACAACGCTGAGGGCCGCGTGTTCGAATCCCGCACGGAACAAGTATTTGTAGGGCCTACAAATAATTGTTCCGGGTCTGGTTGTTTGTCCTTGTGCAATTTATGTTTATAAACTGCCTCTACGATACAGGAGAAAATCTTAGTGTGGAGGTAACGTTTTTAAAAAAAAATTGACAGAAAGACTCCATGGTAGTGGTCCGGGTCCGGCTGAGATTCAAACCTGGGAACTAATGATTAGCAACCATTTTGACGACTACTAGATTAACGACGCAGTCAAATAGGCCGAAATAACGATAATATTAATATCCCTTAATTTGTAAACGTATCATAATTATTAATTAGAGTTTCAAATACATAAACAATACGCTTTGATCGTGATCTGTGATGATACCGTAGCGAGAATACTAGTTTATTAAAAAGCAATTTACTGATATTCACGTGAAGTACATGTTCCAATTATTACATTTAGAACTAACATATGAAAACCCAATCATAACTATACTTTATGGGTTCACGTGATAAAACCACGTGTATAGTACATTTTGAACATGATACACAATAGTTTGAACATAATTCCTAATCGAAAATATACGTTTTATACGTGGTAGAACCACGCTGCAGAGCTGTATTAAGGTTAAGCAAATTAGTTTACTAATATTCACATACAATACCTGTTTCAATAATTACAATTTGTATATACATCCGAATATTTAATCAAAAACTATACTTTCTATACGTAATAGAACCACGTGAGGAAGGACCATGCTCTCACTTAACACCAGTGTGAAATATCAGCCTAATGCTTACATGTTTAGTATGGTGAATGTAGAGAACCAAAGACGCTTATCACGATGGTAAGGAAGCATTATATTTTAGTTCTCAGGGGTGACAAAGCATTTTGATTTTTAATCGAAGGTCACAGTATCCAGTGATCTTACCTAACTGACCATCATGTGGACTGTGTGCTCGTTTGAGACCGTAATTATGAAATTATTGGTTGTTGAATTATGAAATCATCGGTTCATAACAAGCTTGAAAAATTTCAGGTTATTCAGTGGTCCGAAAGTAAGTGAAAACTAAAAAATCCATTAAGTAATATGTGTCTACATTTTATACAGGTCAAGCTTAAAAAAGTTATGTTCGTATATTGTCATGTAATTTCGATTTTTTCCTTTCTTTCATTTTACGTACACTTATCACTCCGTTATGACATTTTCTTGGAGAACATATTTATAGTGTCAAAGCGAATTAATACAGGTGGTTTCAACCAGTTATGCCACGAAGGAAATAGTCGCTTCATGACTTTTACATTAGGTAAGGCCTGCTTCGTGGAAGCCAAGGTTTCGTTATACACATCATGGATTCCTTGATCGATACACTTAATAAAGAAGCGAACACAATATGATAGCTATAAAATATGTTTTACGGTATTATCTTTTTTTTTCTTTTTGTTTAAACATTAAGTCCACACCAGGATTTTTTCATGTATCGTATGGACAGTTTACATACATATATTTCACAAGGACATCCATCATAACAAACCAGACATCTAGACACAGAACAATTATTTGTAGGCCATACAAATACTTGCTCCGTGAGTGATTCGCGTCTTTAGCGCTGCTACTGATTGCTAATATATAAACGAATGAGTTGCAGGTTGAGAATAGACAAACTTTATTGCTCTATAATTAGCTGTGGTACATTATTAGCCTAGTACATATTTTATCCACTAGATGGCGTTAGTATGAAGTAGACATTATTTTGATATAATTAAACATATTTTAACAGCACCACTTATCTAAATACTAAGTAATAATAAAACTAACGACACTAACTTTAACACACTTTTAAACATTTTGAATTCCTAATAATTTTATAAAATAGTTATGTTTGGCACCACTTAAACTTTTCGTTAATATATCAGCAGGCATCTCAGATGTTGATAGATATTCAATTTTTACAAGGCTATTAGAGACTGCTTCGCGTATGAAGTGGTAGCGAATGTCTATATGTTTAGTTCGTTTGTGAAACAAAGGATTCTCTGTCAACTTCTGGGCTCCCTGGTTGTCATTATAAATTATTACAGTATAGTTACAACCAATAATATCAGATGACAGATTCTTTAAATATATTGCCTCTTTACATGCTTCAGCAATGGCCATGTACTCGGCCTCGGTACTTGACAAGGCTACAGTTTGTTGCTTCCTGCATTCATAGGATATCACACAGCCTGACAATTTAAAACAAAATCCTGTGTAGGATTTCCTATCTACAATATTCGATGCCCAATCAGCATCTACGAAACCTTCTAAATTACAGGTATCTTTAGTAAACTTCAAACCATAAGATTTAGTTTTTTGCAAGTATTTTAAAATTCTTTTGGCATGATGCCAATGAACTGAACTAAAACAATTATTAAACTGGCTAAGGTAGCTCACACTATATGATATATTTGGACGTGTTAATACTGACAAATACATAAGATTTCCTATAAGCTGTGGATAGGGAAACTGTTTGTCAACACATTCTGCCTTTTCTAATTTCAAATTACATTCCATTGGAGTATCTTTAGTATTACAATCAGTCATATAAAACTTTTTAAGAATTTGTTTTAAAAATTGTTACTGATCAATAGATATACAGTTATTTTCATATTTCACTCTCATGCCTAAACACCTTTTTATTTGACCTAAATCTTTAATTTTAAATTTTGACATAAGTTTTTTCTTCAGATCATTAGTCATAGTCTTATTATTAGAAAAAATAAAGAAATCATCAACAAATATTGCAATGATAATCTGCTCATTCTTACATTTTTACTGTATAAACATGGTTCTGATACTGACTTTTTATAATCCAAATCTATCAAAAAATCATTTATTCTACCATTCCATGCCCTAGCAGCTGCTGTAGTCCATAAACTGCTTTTTTAAGTTTAAGAACACAATTACTTGGACAATTTAAATTAGCAGGTGCTTGCATGTATACATTTTCTGTTAAAAAACCATTCAAAAATGCTGTAACTACATCAAGATGAGTGATTTCAAAATTATATTTTACACTTTTTGCAAACAATAATCTAAGTGTAGAATACCTGAGAACGGGTGAGTAGGTCTCATTAAAATCTACTTCATGCTGTTGAGTGTAACCTTTCGCCACAAGTCTTGCTCTATACCTGACACTGTTATTGTTTTCTGGCTTTTTCTTGAATACACATTTGCACTGTACTACTCTATCTGCCTCTTCTTGACTAACAATCTCCCAGGCTTGGTTATCATCAAATGCTTGAAGTTCATCAGACATAGCCTGCTGCCACTTGTCTTCTCTGGACCGTTGGTGGCTTCATTATAGCTTATGTCTTCAGCCCAAGATTCTGGTTGATCTGAAACACAAAGATTAGTAAAACCATATCTTTTAGGAGGTTTTTTGATACGCTTTCCCACCAATGGAGGCTCTTCATTTTCAGATAGATCTTCTTCTTCAGTTAATGTATGATAGAACTCTCCTTCAGTTGAACTTGTGCTTTTTTCTGAATCATATACATAGGTAGGATCATCCTGATTTGTCAATGTATTGTCACTTTCTATCATAGAACTTTCCTGTTCTACTGATTGCTGTTCTTTCAACTGTCCTTCGTTTATTTCTATCTCAGTAGTATCTTGCTCCATTATAATGACATCTCTACTGGTACATATCTTTCTAGTTTCTGGGTTATATAATCGGTAACCTTTCACATTTTCCGAGTATCCTACTAAGATGTATTTAATTGCTTTCTTGTCTCACTTTAATCTTTTATTTTTAGGAACATGCGTCATTACAGGGCTCCCAAATATTCTGACATGACTGAGGTCAGGTTTATGTCCTGTCCATATCTCAATCGGAGTCTTTTGGTCCAAACCTGAAGCTGGCGATCTATTTTTTAAATATACTGCCGTGTTGACTGCTTCTGCCCAAAAACTTTTATCCAGTTTGGCCTCGAACAACAAACATCTTGCACGTTCAACAATTGTCCTGTTGAATCTTTCACTGACACCATTCTGCTCCGGAGTATATGGGTTTGTCTTCTGATGGATGATTCCACTATCTTTCAGATAATTTTCCATCATATCTGAGCAAAACTCCCCTCCATTGTCAGTTCTCAATGTTTTTATTCCTGATCCTTTTTGCTTCTCAACCATTCTTTGAAATTCTTGAAATACTGTAGAGTCTGATTCTTCTCCTTCAGAAAATATACAAATGCCATCTTGCTGGCATCATCAACAAACAATAGAAAATATCTTGCCTGTCCAATCGATCGAACCTCCATAGGCCCACACAGATCTGAGTGAACTAAATCTAGCATTTCTGAACTTCTATGGTTTCGTAATTGAAATGGTAAACGACTCTGTTTCCCTTCACAACATACCTGGCAGTTTATTTTCTGAATATCAGCCTTCATATCAAATGATATACCCTCTACAGCACCATTTTTCATCTTCTGCAAATCATTACTGTTAATATGACTCAATCTCCTATGCCACTATTTTGCATCTGTAGTTTGAACTGCTGCGGCCAACACTTTCTTTGACTTTACTGAATTCAACTTATACACACCATTCTTTAAATTTGCTGTTGCAATAAGCTCATTCCGTTGATTATGTATATAACACACATCAGTCTTGAAAGTAACTTTGTTTCCTTTTGCTATTAGCTGGCTTACTGATAATAAGTTTGTGGTTAGGTTAGGTATGTACAAAATGTTGTTTACTTTAATGTCAAACTGAGAATTATTCACAAGCGTAGTTATCTGTGTATTCCCGGCACACATAACTGGCACAGTCATATTATTTGCAACAATAATTTTCTTCATATCGTGTACTTTTCTCACTTCCATTAAATTTTCTCTGCATGATGTCATATGAGTACTAGCCCCTGAGTCAATATACCAATGATCCTCATTAAATTCACTATTAAAAAATGCAGCACTAAATGCGTTAACTTGCTTTTCTTTTACTTCAGGACACTGGTTTTTAAAATGGCCAATTTTCCTGCACTTATAGCATTTTATAACCTTCTTGACATTTGATGTATAATTTGACGTTTGTTTCCCGCCTTTTGTATTCAAATTTTGACCGAACTTACTTTTATGCTTCGACAATAATGCTACTTCCGAGTCATGGTTATCGACTTCAGAACTCATATCAAGCAATTTCGTTTTGATGACATCAGAGTTTATGGCTATGCCGGAATGTTCTATTGCCATGATCATTGGGGCAAACTTTTCTGGTAGTCCCGCCAACAGCAATGATCCAATCCATTCCTCATTAATCTCGAATCCTGTGCCTTTCAGTCTTTGTGCAGTTTCCACAATTTGACTCACGTAACTTGTCATGGACTCACAATTATCAAGTCCAATGGATATTAATGTTCTTAGTAAACTGATTTTTCTGGTGAATCCGCTGTCATCAAATAATCTCCGTAGTTTCTGCCATAAATCCTTAACTTTAGTTTCAGTTTTTATATGAACATACAACTTGGGATCAATCTTCATGATGAGTTTTGCTTTCGCTTTTCTGTCTTCAACATCACTTAATTCCTCAGGAATGGCGTCGATGTCTATACCTTCCAATATGAGAAAATTTCTTGCCGCGAACGCCCAGTCATCAAAGTTCTCGCGTCCCTTCAACTTCGGCACATTTATTAAATAACCGCCTGACGACGACATTATAACTTGTTTTCTGACACACGATATGAATTTACTGTAAAATTATTTAATTAGGTTTTCACTGGGCCCATAACCTAATATATACGAATGAGTTGCAGGTTGAGAATAGACAAACTTTATTGCTCTATAATTAGCTGTGGTACATTATTAGCCTAGTACAAATTTTATCCACTAGATGGCGTTAGTATGAAGTAGACATTATTTTGGTATAATTAAACATATTTTAACAATTGCTAAGCCTTGAAGCTCTCCACTATAATAAGATATTTTTTATATAACTGCAGTGACGAATAAATTAACAGTTCACCTCATGGCAAGCGGCTACTGCAGCTCACGGACAGCTGCAACCCACTTCCAACAAAGATATGCAGTCTGCATATGCGTTGTCATCTCTGAGGAATAAGATGGAATGACTCACAGTCTGCAATTGTACTGGCAATTATACCTATAACCTTCAAATCGAAACACAACAAGTATTTAGCAGCGGAAATAAGAGGGTTGTACCAAGTCTGGAGTTCTACCATCTAGAAAATGAAATGAAATAATTATATAAAAATATATGAATAATAAATAGATAAGTTTATTGTTTCACAAAATATTGTATTGTTTAGAATAGTAAATATACAAGGTTATTTTGTAATATGTGCCGAATGTGCAGAAAAGGTACAAAATAAGTGATTTAGGCAAATGTTGAAAAAAAAATTAATTAAAAACTGTCAATCGTAGGACTGCACGTCAGAAGTGAAAACTTTTTAGCTTTCATCATCATCATTCATCATCATTACAGCCTTTCATAAGTCCACTGCTGAACATAGACCTCCTCCAAGGAATGCCACAAAGCAGGGTCCTTAGCCACCTGCATCCATCGACTTCCTGCATGTCTTACCAGGTCGTCACTCGATCTCGTGTGGGGTCGCCCTACACTTCGCCTACCGGTACGAGGCTGCCACTCAAGAACCTTTCTTCCCCATCGGTTGTCGGTTCTTCGAGCTATGTGGCCGGCCCACTACCACTTCAGCTTACTAATCCGTTGGGCTATGTCGGATACTCTGGTTCTACTGCGGATATACTCATTTCTAAGTTTATCACGCAGAGAAACCCCGAGCATAGCCCTCTCCATAGCTCACTGAGCGAACTTGAGCTTCCTCATACGGCCAGCAGTGAAGGACCACGTATCAGATCCGTAAGCCATCACTCATCATTTTAGCTTTACAAACTTTTAAACATTGGTTTTAGGCTGTTTAGATATGTTTTTTAAGAAGTATTATTTATTAGAAATTCTATTTATCAACGTATTAATAATAGGTCTCTTAATATGAAATTGCCGTTCTGTAGTACTGGCCGCTTAAAATTAAAATCATTTCGGTTTGGCTAAGAATTCTAATTTCAAATTAATTTCATTTTAAAAACATGGATTGTATTGAAATTAGTTATTTATTTATCGGTAAGCGTTATGTTTTCGTTGCAATTGAATCTTTCTCGTTATCATGGATATGTTAAAAATTCGAGTTATTATGGGATATGAGTACCGTTGTGGTAGCAACGCGGCACAAGTGGCACGCAACATCAACGACGTTTACAGAGCGAATACTACAAACGAACGTATTTTGAAGAAAGAAAGATTTCGGCACGCTCTGATCCCGAATCTGCGGTCCGTTTGTGCGTAGGATGCGTGGTTCCGGAGGTGTGGCCTGTACCCTTATGAGCGTTTCATTATTCAGCTTTTCCTCTTATATGTATTCTCTTATTAGTTCCTTGAACACCGTCATTACCGCTCTTATCTATTACTCGTTGTACACCCTGCTATTGTATTATACTTCTTTGTTTATTACTACCACGCTATTCTGAATCAGCAATAAAACGTACTCCATAACTTTGTTACAA